AAGAAACTAGGAAACAAGAAGGACTCTAAGGGAAAAAATGCATGGACCCTTGAGAATGAGAAGGGGCAGGATTGAGCTAATTGGGAACATGAGGGGAGGGGAGAGGGAGCTTCCAGAATGAGAGGAGGAGAAGAGGAGGGGAGAGAAAGAAATGGAGTAGCAGAAATGTTGAGTTGGGGGAAGAATAGAGGAGAGCAAGATGACAGATTCCATATCAGAGGGAGCCATGATAGGTCTGAGGAGAGATCTGGCACTAGGAAGATTTCCAGAGATCTACAAGGATGGCATGAACTGACAATCTAGGCAATGGTGGAGAGGATAGCCTAAATGCCCTTCTCCTATGATGAGACTGATGACTACTTCTTAATGGTAGCAGAGGCAGACACCCACAGATATACACTGAACTGAACTCTGAAACCTAGTTGCAGAGAGGGAGGAATGAAGATCAAAGGGGTTGGTACCAGACTGGTGAAATCCACAGAAACAGCTGGCCTGAACAAGGGGAGGGGGCACATGGACCCCAGACTGCTGTCTGGGAGGCCAGCATGGGACTGATCCAGACCCCTGAACATGGATGTCAATGGGCCCAGCCCAGGATGATGTGGTGGACTTTGGGGAGCCCCCAGCAATGGGCCTACCCTTACTGGGGAGTGGAAAGTAGATGGGGTGGGTGGCAAGTGGGGGGAGGGGAGGTGGAGAGGGAGAAGTGAGGGAGAGGTAGAAGTTATTGACATGTGAAGCAAGCTTGTTCCTAATTTGAACTAAAAAAAATTACAAAAAAATATGTTCACAGACAAAGATTTACTACAAAGGGATTCAATGGCACAGGAAATAATCACAAAAGCAGCAAATTACGTGAAATTAAAAAATAAAACTTCTGCATAGCGAAATAAGCTAAACAAAAAAGAACTTAAAACATTTCAATAGCATAATAGACTAAGTATTATTTTATGTCAACATTAACAGTCTTAGAAGATTTAATCTATGTACACTAGAGCATCTCTGTATTTTGCTTATGTTTTGGGGTGAGTATTATCTTTGCATATAACTGTAACTTATCTTTCATAAAAAAGACATGTGAACAGACCAGCAGATTTTCATTGGGTAGCAGAGATTTGTGACTCCTCCAGTGCCCCTCCCCAGAATAATGCTAGCTATAAAATACTGAACATTAAGAGGCATGGTTGAAATATGCATGGTAACATAGTTCTTTGCCAAACCAAAATGTCTATATGTACTGAAGGTACTTCTTAAGATAGGAGTTATCAATATAATCAGTGATGACCTGATTTTCTCTGGTGTACTTACTCCAGACAAAGAAACAGACACATCCTCTCTACAGCTAAATGACACACCTGAGCTAATCCACAGTGCTGTAAATGTACTTGCCCACATTCCTATCTGGGGGTAGGATTGTTTAGGGAACTCTTTATCTCCCCCCAACCCCGATTTTTAAATTCCATAGTGAAAATGCTTTTTGCTGTCAAATTTTCTGGATTAATTGACCTTGTATTTTCTTTATCAAATTTATCTTTTCTGTGTTTTGTCATCTGTCATATATTTGAAACCAAGAGAAAAGTGTTATCCTTGATTTTAAGGCATATAATGAAAAAGAGTCATGTGATGAATGATTGATATTATGATTAAAAGACTTAAAAGTTATTATTTAGGAGAAAAATATATATGCTTTCTCTAGAAGCAATCACTTGCAATGTATTCATAAACAGAAGTGATCATGGTTAGCTAAAACTCAGTGATAGGCCATGCTGAGGAATATCCCCATAATGAGAAATACAGTGATAGTCCCTCCTTACTGCCCAAAGCCTAAGCCATAACCTGACACCACTGAGAAGAATAAGATACAGTAACTTCTCAGTTTGTCTTGTTTCTTTCCTTTAGAGGAAGTAGAGTAGTTGTAGAGGAATTATAACTTTCTTCCTTGTGAGCAGAGAACCTACGAGCACATTATAGGATCCCAAGCCTCTGCCTAGGTCCTAGAAAGATCAGGAAGGAAGAGTCATTAACAAGTGTGGGAAATGTTACTGGCCATGATGAATTTGATGACTGGCAACACTACAATCAGCATTAAAATAAGACAAAATATATGAAGTGATTGTTTGCAGAGGTTGGATAGCAGGTGGTAAACAAAGACTGTCTCTGAGAAAAGTGAATAATTTTCCGGTAGTAGAAGAGACCCTACAGTGTCCACAGTGATACCCACAAGTTGATTTAAGCAAAGAACAAAGGTTGTGCCACTAAGTCAAGTGGAGTTTAAGGGCAGAAGGAACTCCACCCAGAGAGACAGGGCTCCAGACATTGCTGGAGTTCAATGCTGTCTTAACTATACATGAGTGAAGGGATACTGTGAGACTAGCAGAGGACAGCTTCAGGGGGACAGCATCTTAATGCTGGATGAAGAGTTAGGAGGCTGCAGAATAATGACAACAAGTGTTCTGGTCAAGCTGAGGAGAAAGTTTGTTTAGTAGGGATCTTAGAAAGGTCATGTCTCAGGACTGGTTATTTCCTAGCTGAGATGAGCAAGCTTATAGGCTGGAAACAAACTGCGTCCCAGAAGAAAAGTCAAGAGACACTGCAAAACCCAGATTCTCAACAACACAGCATCTTTTAGGTCTAGAAGATAGAAACAATGATAATGATATTGTGGATGAGAAGCCAGAAAACAGAACCACAGTGATGTTGAAATTGGCTGTAATGTCTTTATATGGAAGTTATAAAGCTTTTAAAGAATTTTAGTGAAGCCAGACACACAGTGGTGCATACCTTTAACACCAGAGCTTGGGAGGCAGAGGCAGGCAGATCTCTGTGAATTTGAGTCTAGTCTGCTTTTCATAGCAAATTCCAGGCCAACAAAGAATATGTAGTGAGATCCTG